TGAGGGGTGAGGGCAAGGGAGAGTAACAAGAGGATAGGGACCAAAATCAGATTCATAGTTATCATGGCCCTTGAGTTCATGCTTTTGTTTTGTCCCCTTGAATCTAGGTGAGTCTGCGACATGCTCTAACCAACACAATGCAATAGAGTGGATGTCGCTCCACTTCCATAAGCACTAAGGTCCAGCAGCTTCTGCTCCCATGCTCTTGTGAGCCCTGAGCTGCCATGGGAGAAGTCCAGCTACACTCGTGGAGAGGTCACATGGAGAGCCTACAAGCAGAGGTCCCCTAGTGAGAAAGAAGCCCTGAAACGACAATATAGAAGCACCAAGGAACCAAATCAACAAGGAAAGCCAGTGGAAAAATGAGGGGTAAGCGCCACCTTACTGATTCACCCCTCCCCAGCAATCCCTAGGTGCCCAGAGCACCATCTGAAAGACTAACACTGGAGACAGTAACAAGCTGGGTTCAAGTGGAAGCGTTGTCTCTGATGAGCTGTGTGGGCCAGTCACTTCAGCTCTGTGAGTCTCCATGATTCTGGCAGCATTCAAATCTGATACTCTTAAGTCAGGGGTCCCCAACTTCCGGGATCTAATAGCTGATAATCTGGGGTGATATAATAATAGAAATAAAGTGCACCAATAAATGTAATGTGCTTGAATCATTCGGAAACTATCTCCCCCCTCCCTGGTCATGAAAAACTGTCTTCTATGAAACCAGTCCCTGGTGCCTAAAAGGTTAGGGACTGCTGCTCTAAGTAACCGGATTCATAACAAAGAACAAGTCAGGTGACACCTCGGCCATCTGCAGGCCTCACACCCACGTGGAGTAATCAACCAGCCATCACCTTGAAATATCACTTCTCCAACTGATGGACTCTGTAGAGCCTGGGTCACTTTAAAAATAGAAGGACCCCCTTCTAAATTCGACTCAGTGGGAAGTGACACTCACATTTTAGGTGAGCTGTGTAGTGCAAGCTTTTGTCAGTGGAATTGTCTGTATGTGAAGACAGGATATGATGTGCAGTGGGCTTCCTAGGTGGGGTTAGTGGTAAAGAACCTGTGTGTCAGTTTGATCTCTAGGTCAGGAAGATGCCCTGGAGGAGGGCATGGCAACCCACTCCAGTATTCTTGCCTGAGGAATCCCATGAACAGAGGAGCCTGGTGGGCTATAGTCCAGAGGGTCACAAAGAGTTGGACATGACTGAGCGATTTAGCACGCACACATGATGTGCAGTATTAATGTAAAAACATCCTGTCATGGGATTTTACAGTAGCAACAAATCATGTATTAGTGTTTCCATTTATATATATACAGAAAACGCCTAAATGTACCTTTGGAATCAATAAAATCCAGATAAGACATACGCTTTTGACATATACATATATATCTAGTGTGTGTATGTGTGTGTACAGGTTTTTCAGGTAGAAAGTGTAATTCCCCGTCAGCCAGCGGCCCATCTGAAGCCCTAAGCCTGCCTCCAAATTCCTATTTTCTGAACTGAGTCCCTCCCACATTATTCAGTACAACGTGGAGGTTCAGCCCGGCTGCCCTTGCCATGATTTATTCATTGACTCTCATCTGAAATTTCCCAGTGTCTCCAGGTCTTTGATGCAAATCAGCCTGATTCTACAGCCTCCCTCAGATGCCTTTTTACTCCCTGAGGGTCTTTAGCTGGAAGACTGCATGCAATTAAATGTAAGGCTTCCTAAATTCAACCTTTCTCAGCCCACACACAGTTTTCCTCCAGTTGGTGGAATTAAACACTCTCCCAACATTGGAAAGCTCTCCTCCCCCAAGCATGTGAGGCTTCTTCGGCGGATGGGGGATGAGCCAAGCCACACTGCAGTCGTCAGGTATGTCAGAATCCTCCCAAACCTACCATTTGCCCATAAAGCATAACACAGAGACACTCGAAAAGGAAATTATTAGAAAATTGCTTTTCATCATAATTACCACAAATAACAAAGGAGAAACCAACTAAAGCAATGACTTAGAAAAGTGACTCAGTTTGGGCAATTACACAGATAAAAGCTGCATTCAGCGAGCCGCTCACACAAATTTATTGTCCCCTGCCAACGCTGATTATTTAGAGAGCTACAGTAAATATTTCACCATATGCTTCTAATAACTCAGAATATTTTTCTTAGAAGAGAGCACATCTTCAGGATACTCTCAACATTGTAGATTTACTAAGGGTATCAGCACTCTTAGAGAAAGCAGGTTTGAGTAAAAATATTAATATGTTTTTCTTCCTTTTAGAACAATCAAGACTGATTGAGATACATGATGAGGACAAGAGGCATGAAGCACTAGACAAGGACTGGGAAACAAAGATTTTATTTGCCTGAATCTAAATAAAATCTATACCAGAAATTAATTTTTATAAAAACAAAAACTACCTAATCAAACGTAGGACTCAGGCTATCTGGGAGCTTCCCAAGTGGCTCAGTGATAAAGAATCTGCTTGCCAATGCACAGGACATGTGAGTTGGATCCCTGGGTGGGGAAGATCTCCTGGAGTCGGAAATGGCAACCCACTCGTAATATTCTTGCCTGGAGAATCCCATGGACAGCGGAGACTGGTGGGCTACAGTTCATGGGGCTGCAAAGAGTTGGACACAACTGAGCATGCAAGCAGGATATTTGCCAATTGTAGTTCCTTTCCTACAGATATCCAATCGATCAATCAATTAATTTAAAAAAACCAACTTCACCTGGCAACACCTCTTTCCTTTTCTCTAAGCACTTGACACCATTGACATGTTATGCACCTAGATGTTTGCTCATTATCTGCCTCCCCAGTAGAATGCAAGCTTCATGAGGGCAAGAGCCTATTTTTCCTTTCACCACTGAGTCCCCAACATCTAGAACAGTTCCTTAACACATAGGAGGTAGTACAGAATGAGTGTTTGATGAATGAATGAATGCACTTAACCTGATGTTGCCCATTTCATTGTCTTCACCACCTTTATTATTAACTCACATGAATTTCAATTTCCCCTAGATTGTCTCTGAAATATCAGTAGCCCAAAAAAGTTCTGGGCTCAATTAGAAATGACAACTGATGTTTATACTCTCTTTGGATGCTAGTCATCTTTTACCTACAGCTAGTAGAGGATTTTGCTGCTTGTATATTATGATATGTCAACAACGTTTATAATATAGTTAAGGCCTGGCTTAAGCAACACTGTGAAGCAGATTAAGTTCGGGATACTTCATCCCCTCTTTCTGTACTTTTCTCTCTTTTCTGAGCTTTCTGTTACTTAAATCAATTTATTTCTCCTGTTGTGGAAAAAAGTTGTCTTATAAACAAATTCAGAGCTCCCTGTTAATTATTTAAAGTATTGTCTCTCTCAGCATGTTTGAATTTAAGACAGGACACTAGAGATAGAATAATTCTTAACCTGATGCTCAGAATCCCTAACTTTTGGAAACCGTTACCCTGTGGTGGGTAGGGTAGGCAGACAGGGATGGGTCTTTCCATCGCACCTGAAGTGACATTACTGGGGGGACTTTGACCCACGATAGTTAGCTACAAAGAGTTGGACACAATTTAGCAACTGAACAACAAGTTAATGGCTTAGATCACCTCATCTTTCACTTAAAGTCTCACTCCTTCTAAACAAAGTATGAGAGGCAGAGGATGATGATGGACCCCAATAATACCAAAGGACTTTCTAATGAATGCTTTCACTCTTTCATATAAAACTCATCCAGTGAAAACAGCATGGGATTGTGAGTTAGAAAGGCACTGCCTCCCATTAAGAAACACTAATATTTCAGTGCAAAGGGCCTCAGTCACACATGCATGGGATATGATTGCTAAATAAATTGGTAAAATTTTAAAACAAAAAAGATCAAAAGATTTGGTAATATTTAGGAGAAAGGAGAGGAAGGGATGAGAAGAAGCAAAGTCAGTATGATACATCTAAAGTATTAATATCAGCAAAAGTCATTTTGTGGCTGCATTGCAGTTTCTCAGCAATAAAATTCCATGAAAATGACTCTTCTAAATTGTCAAGGGCCCAATCTTTACACTATACAGACCGAACTCCTAAGAGATTCAATAGTTGTTTGTTTTGTCTCTGGTTTTAATATCCTACAGTAATACATTTTGATTAAGTCAGTAAATTACAATGGGGGAAGAGATATCAATTTCAAAAGCAAACTCAGACACTTCATTGACTGGATGGTTACCCCTAAGCACATGGTTTCCAAAGCCTGACCTCCATCTTCACTCAGCATCAAATTAAAGGGTTTTAAAACAATAAAAATATATGAATCCCTTTCACGAGCAGGATGGAAGTGAATGAGGATATACATGAAATAGTTTCAGAAACACAAACTTTTTCATTACTCAATGATATTTTTTACTTAACAAATAAGAGGTCAATGATACGTTGAATTACTGCTAAGAAATATTTATCTGTGTGATCAACTGCGTAAAAAGTGGTGCAATAAATTAGTCAGGTGCTTTATTCTCATTTTTATAGTCATAATAATTTCTTAATGCACATCTGAACATAATATATGCACTTTAAACAAAACAACTAGACCATCATTGAGTAACACAAAAATTTTATTTCCAGAACTAAAAAAAATAAAAAGTGGCTCAAAGTAAGCAATATAAAAATATTGAATGGCACTAGAAAAAGATTTTTTTTTAATTTAGAATAAGATTTTTTTAGTTAGTTTTACATTTGTCTCCTGTGTTATTTTACTACTTTCATGGCAAATGGCTCAGTGGGGACAGAGTACAGCATCAGAGTGGATGGAAGAAATCTCAGAGCAGCTTACTTTAATACAACAAAGATCTGAGTATCCACTTTGTCCCAGGCATAATGGGAGTGCAGGGGACACTTCTGTTCACTGGCAAGCTCTGCTCAACTTCCCTGCTTAGCTTTATCTGTGTATCACCTAACTCTCCATCCTGCTCCCCCGTCCAAGACACAGACGCAGCAGACTAGACGCGCAGAGAACAACCGGCTGACCAACCCACAGGCAGGGCTGGACCAAGAGATTCTCCCTCCAGAGCAAAAACCAAGACACTGAAGCTGAGGCGTCGGCGGAGCTGACCACATGCATGCTGGTGAGTAGGCGCAGGAAGGCCGACGACCTGGGAGAAAAGACAGGTACATGGAAGGCAGTGACTGAGGCAACGCGAGGGAGAACTGCACGCATAGACAGACCGGATAGAGACGGACAAACAGAGGCAGAGACTACAGACAAAGACGGACAGCACCAGGAGAGATGGAGAGAGATGACAGACGCTGATCCAGACAGGTGGCAGCAGCAGAGTCAGGCAACAGAGACGATCAGCTGCAGGTAGCAATTCAGAGACGGGCAGGAAGAGAGAGAGATGGGGAAAGAAGAGGAGAGAGGGTGGGGACGGAGGGCATGGGGCAGGGGTGGGGACAAGGGGAGCCAATGCAGCAGGAGCTGGAGCTGAAGAGCAGGCAGCCCCGAGCAAGAGACCCACAGCCACATCTAGAGAGAGAGTGAGGAGAGAGCTCAAGAGCCCCGGGGATGGTACAAGAGAGACAGACCAAGGGCCAGAGGGAGATTCAGAGAAGAAAACCAGAACATTCCAAGAGCAGGCACTGCTGGAGACAAGTGAGAGGCAGACATTGAGAAGCTGGGAGAGAGAATGACGGTTACTTCCTGTATCAGGACCCAGGGAACAGGGGCCACCCCAGAGGCCCACGTCACAGATCTCAACCTAAGTCAGCCTGCAGGGATGGAAACAGCTCACTGTGACACCGGTCACAGTTCTCCAACTCAGCTAGAGCTGGCTCACCTGACCCTAGAAAATAGGACCAGCCAGCCTCAAAAGGAAATCTCCAACCTGTCAGCCAAACGCGCTCTGGGTCTGAAATGCCTCTCCTAACGCACTAAAAAATTCACTCCTGGGCTTCCCTGGTGGCCCAGTGGTAAAGAATCCAGCTGCCAGTGCAGGAGACATGGGTTCCAGCCCTGGTCTGGGAAGATCCCACATGCAAAGCAGCTAATCCCGTTCGTCACAACTATTGAGCCTGTGCTCTAGAGCACAAGAATCGCGACTGCTGAAGCCCACGTGTGCCCTGCAGGGCTCAGCTACGAGAGAAGCCACCACAATGAGCAGCCTGCACGCCACAAGTCGAGAGCAGCCCCGCTCACAGCAGCTAAAGCCTGCACAGCCATGAAGACCCAGTGTGTTAGTTGCTCAGTCATGTCTGACTGTTTGCGATTCCATGGACTGTAGCCCACCAGCTTCCTCTATCCATGGGATTTTTCAGGCAAGAAGACCGGAGTGGGTTGCCATTCCGTTCTGCAGGTGAAGACCCAGTACAGCCAATAAATAAAATTATTTAAAAAAAAAAAAAAAGAACTTGCTCCTGCTCCAAATCCCTTGGAAAGAATATTCTTCCACCACCTGTGAGCCCTGCACTCCCACAGTCCATGGATTGTTTTCCCTTAGATAAAGGACATCAAAGTCATTACTAACTTGCTTTAGCTTCATCATTTGACAAGAGTAACAGAAAAAAGCGGCACAGTGAATGAAGTTAGGCAGGAGCACAACCCCTGGATGACCTAGCCAGGTGGGAAAAGTATCAAGGGGAATTTCAGCTGACAGAAGAATGACTAGAATTTAGAACCTCCTCCATCTTTAAAAACTATCAGCTATCATTTCAAAGTGGCAGATCAAAAACATGCATTTACTTAATGATGGCTGGAAAATTCAAAGGGATATTCCCACAGCATCAAAGGGAAGGGTCACCAGTAGGCAACAGCTAAGTTTCTGGAAGATGAAGGATAAGTGGAGGATGAAATGCAGCAGAGGAAGCCATGATCTTAAAATTCCAAAGGGATTTGGACAAGGAAGGGGCTAATGAGATGCAGGACACTGAACTGTTAGCTACTGTCTAAGGCAGGAATGGGATTTGAGCAAAAACTGGGAAACCAACAGAAAGTCAATAGAGAAAAAGTCCACTCACCCTCCGACACATACCCTCCATCCATACAGCCACACCTCTGCCTCTCAAGTAAAGACACACACGGCTCAGAGGCAGTAGTCCGCCGACTGCAACATCCATCGGAAGTGCCCGGAGAACTCAGTAAAACACGGATAACAGGCCCCATCCCATGAGTTTTTGATTCACTAGATATAAGGTTGTTGTTTAATCGCCAAGTCATGTCCAACTACTTTGTGACTGCATGGACTGTAGCCCACTAGGCTCCTCTGTCCATGGGATTCTCCAGACAAGAACACCGGAGTGGGTTGCCATTTCCTTCTCCAGGGGATCTTCCCAACCCAGGAATCAAACCCGCGTGTCTTGCATTGACAGGCAGATTCTTCACCACTGAGCCATCAGAAATAAGTTTCGCCCCAAGAATTTGCATTCCTATCAAGTTCCTAGAAGGTTCTACCACTAGAAATTAATGAAGGCAATTTTACTTAATCTCTTTTTTAAACCTCAGTTTCTGCAGTAATAAAATGGAATAGTGAGAGTGCTCACAGAAAAGTCTTAGTGAGATCAGAGGAGATGATACATGTGAAGCCTTTGGCACACTGCCAGGCACACCTATGAGACAGGTTTTCTAATTTGCCCAAGTCATGGTTATAACAAGTGATTATAATTGATGCTTATAACAAGTATTTGCTGGCTTCTCATGTTTTTTGAATTCTGAGAATTTGAAAAGTGAAAAAAGATGGAAAAAGAACATGAAAACATCTCATCAACACTCTGGTGACCAACTTGTTGAGCTGAAAAGCAAGGATAGGTGCGTGCTACTTTCACCAGGCAGAGTACAAGTATTTTTCATTCTGTTGAACAGGAGACCCTGAATTCATACCTGCTCACCAATTTCATGCTGATGACTGATATTGGTCTGGACAACAGGCTACTGAGAAGGTAGTTGTCCAGGGAAAGAGCAACAGGTTCTATGGTCAGAATCCTGGCAGGTAAATAATGACACATTTAAGCAGGTTATTAGATGAGGGTTTAATCAAGGAACTATTTAGAAAAGCATGGGTCAGGTGGTAAACCAACTCTCTTGAGGAGAAAAAGCTCTGATTTATATCATTTGACAATTTCTGAGGGGTAAATATTCCCACATAGCAGAGTTTAAGCTACCAAGTTCCCTGAACCAGGAATAGGGAAAAGGTGAGCATAACCACATCTTGAGAGAGAGTATTGATACCAGCCAGCTGCACCTGCCCCAGCACACAATGGGGGAAAAATTCAGGGACAGTGCAGGACCCCCAGGGTTAGTAACCTTTGCAAATTGCAAGGTTTACCCAAACCCAAAGAGAGTGAGCTGCAGATGTAAGCTTTAATCAAAGTAAAACAGATAGGCTACGATGATGACCTTGCAGGGAGGAAACTAGGAGAATAAAGATTACAATCTCCCCTACCTGCTTCCCCACCTCACGGTGGTAAGAAGCCAGCCAGGAGTCAGGAAGCAAGGGAGCCTACGGACATAATCTATGTAGGTCACCATCCCAGAATGCAGAGCAGGTTACAGAAGAAAAAAGACTGGCCCAGTGATAAAGAATCCGCTTGCCCATGCACGAGATGCGACAGATGCAAGTGTGAATCCCTGGGTTGGGAAGATCCGCTAGAGTAGGAAATGGCAACCCTCTCCAGTATTCTGGCCTGGAAAAGCCCATGGACAGAGGAGCCTGGTGGTTACAGTCCTTGGGGTCAGGAAGAGTCAAACATGACTGAGCACAAGAGAAGATAAAGCAGTACACTGGCCCTTGTAGGCGCTCAAAGCACAGCCTTAAAGGTTGCAGCCTAGAATGCTAATCAATTCGGTCCCAATAATGCTGACAGGAAACAAAAGTAAAGAAAATCAAAACTTCAAAATCCATGTAGGTGAAGTAAATATATTTTCTTCGCCAGTTATAAAGCTCTAGTCTAAAATAGGCTTTCCAAATTCACTCTTAATAGAAACTGAAGTTAAGCAGTAGATAAATGTTGGTACAATTTGCCCAAATAGTATCATCTTTCAGATGCTGACTCCAGCACTCTGAGAACGCTAGTGGCGGGCGCCTACATCACTGCTGTAAGGGAAGAAGGAAGTAACTAGAGGCCATTCCTCTTCTTTATAAAGATGCCTGAACTGTGGTGTTGGAGAAGACTCCTGAGAGTCCCTTGGACTGCAAGGAGATCCAACCAGTCCATCCTAAAGGAGATCAGTCCTGAATATTCATTGGAAGAACTGATGCTGAAACTGAAACTCCAATACTTTGGCCACCTGATGTGAACTGACTCATTGGAAAAGACTCTGATGCTGGGAAAGATTGAAGGAAGGAGGAGAAGGGGACAACAGAGGATGAGATGGTTGGATGGCATCGCCAACTCAATGGGCATGAGTCTGAGCAAACTTTGGGAGTTGGTGGTGGACACGGAAGCCTAGTGTGCTGCAGTCCATGGGGTCGCAAAGAGTCAGACACGACTGAGGAACCGAACTGAACTGATGTCACCAAAGACCCTTTGAAAAGCTATGAGAAATGGGAGCCTTGAGGCACTCTCATTTAATAATTAACATTAATAATTACAAGATTGACTCAATTTCAGAACATCAGTTTTATGCAGCTTAAGATTAATAGAAAGAGCTGCCATTTTAATTGATAGAATGAACAATCTTAGGATGAGTAAGCAAAATAGATTCAGACTAGTGGCATAATTCTTTAATACCTAATCAGAAGAGCTCTAAGTAGTTTTTCTCCTCAGCAGCCACACATGACTGTTAGAATAGAGACCAGGAGAACTGAGGGAGACGCCGAAGTTGGCCAGATGGCAATCTGTTCAGCAAGACTGTACTTGCACAAAGACCAGCCAGGGCATCAGACAGATCCCAAGATCTAAGACAGGCTGGAATCGCACAGCGATGGGTGAGAACCCGAGACGACGTGCCAAAGAAGACAGGGCAATGGGACATCCCAGAGGAGGGAGAGCCTATTAAGAAAACTTCCACCACATCAAAACAAAGCTTCATATAGCCTGCAATCGTCCCCTTTAAATTGACGTAAGGGACCTGGTCATCCCATATCCAATCTCACCAAAAAAGAAAGAGCTATAAAATCTAAGAATAAGTTTGGGTGAGATGTTTATAACGGAAAAAATGTGTGGTAAGTACTGAGTTGACATAGTATCTCTTAAATCTTTGCTGAGGTTTGCAACGCATGTTGGTCTTCACCCCTCTGCAATGAGCCCCAGTGTCACAAACATCACACTCATTTTGGGAGTCCTGGGCTCGAGCACTGCATCATGCACAAAGGAGGCCCACCACGCCTGTGAAACGGAGCTGGAGGCGAGTCTTGGCTTTGCAGTTTGTCTTTGATTTTTGATTCCTCTATGGTATCACTGCCCCCACTTCAGTCACTTTATTTCTTTCACTAAAATAAACATGTCATTCACCTCCTAGTCCCTTCTCGCTTCCAGCTTGAATTCTTACATATGTCCCCAGAGTTTTTCCATTTAAGAAAATGAGTCTCTCACACACACACACACTTGCCTGTGTCCTTTGCACACAACACTAACTGTGTGAGTCTTTCACATCATTTACCATCATGGTGCAGGAGTTCACACTATAGGAATGTTATAACACAGAGTAGATATTGAGAGCTGGACAATAAAAAGAAGGCTGAGTGCTGAAGAATTGATGCTTTTGAACTGTGGTGTTAGAGAAGACTCTTGAGAGTCCCTTGGACAGCAAGGAAATCAACCCTGAATATTCATTGGAAGGACTGATGTTGAAGCTGAAACTCCAATACTTTGGCCACCCGATGCAAAGAACTAACTCATTGGAAAAGACCCTGATGCTGGGAAAGATTGAAGGCAGGAGGTGAAGGAGACAACAGAGGATGAGATGGTTGGGTGGCATCACTGACTCGATGGACATGAGTTTAAGCAAGCTTCGGGAGATGGTGAGGGACAGGGAGGCCTGGTGTGCTGCAATCCACGGGGTCACAAAGAGTCAGACATGACTGAACAACTGAACAAGAAGATAGTGAAGCCTCCCAGAGGACAAGGGCAAGTTTTGTTTTCATTTCATTTTGATCACGTGCTCACTATTAATATGACCCTGAGTGGCCCTGCTTTATTGGTTACTAGATTGTTTGGGCAGTGCCATTATTAAAGGAGAAAATAGCATGTGTCGACAAGGGTGTGCTGTGGAGTGCTGAAAACTCTCATACGCTGCTGGATGGAGTGAAAAATGATATAAGCCCTTTGGAAAACTGTTTGGCAGCATCTGCCACAGTTAAACACAGGCATCCTGTGTAAACACTCAATATACGTCCAAAAGACATGAAGAATATTTGTAGCAGCATTAACGGCAAAAATCTGCAAACAACTCACATGGTTGAAGGAGGTCAGTGAGAGGACGTGACCGCTAGCTGAGCATTGAGCTGGACCCAAACAATCAGAGGCTCCTCACCCCTCCCCTGTCCTTGGGATGTACACTCTGCCCACCGCTCCCACAGAAGGAGCCATCCCCAGGAGAGAGGAGGGTGTTGTTGAGACCATCTAGACCAGCAGTCCCCAACCTTTTCAGCACCAGGGACCAATTTCGTAGAAGACAATTTTTCTACAGATGGGAGGGGGAGGGTTTCAGGATGATTTAAGCATATTACATTTATTGTGCACTTTATTTCAATTATTATTACATCAGCTCCACCTCAGATCATCAGGCATTAGATCCCAGAGGTTCAGGACCCCCGATCTAGAGCGAATATGTGACTGAATCCAGTAAAGGCCTCTTTTTAACCTTTAAGTTTTGGCAAGTGGGTGTGGAGATCTACTCATATTGCAGTGCCCAAGACAAATCCAGTAAGTTCCCTCACTTATTAAACCTGCCGCCTACCAGTCTAGGGTGAGCTGCCTCTTTCTTCCATCTCTCCTTGCCCTCCCTGTAAGGGGGCCAGTTTGCAGAACAACACGTATCCATCAACAGTAGAGTGGATAAATACAATGCATGGTGTGGTCATTCCATAAAGTACTACAGAGGAGTGAAAAATGAGCAATGAAAACACACGCAACAACAGCTTGGAGGAATCATCAGCTGATGAAGGATCCAGGCTGTATGTCCCATGCATATAAAGCTCAAAAACAGACAAAGTGAACTGCAGTGTTCAGGAATACAAAACAAGTGAAATTACGGGGCAGAATATGAAGAAGTTATGGTCACCATGAACTCAGGAGATATCTCCCTTTGGGAAGTAATGAAGATGGAACAGGAAGGCCCCAGGAGTCCTGGAGTGCTGGGAAGATCTCACTGAGGTGGTGACAGAACATTATACAAATGTATTAATCTACACAAAGTGATTTCATGTGCATTTTTATTATTTTAAAGCCAAAAAAAAAAGGTTTAAAAAAAACAAGGAAGAAGGGAACTTCCCTGGTGGTGCAGTGAATGAGAATTTGCCTGCCAGTGCAGGGTACACAGGTTCGGTCCCTTGCCCAGGAAGATCCCACATGGCACAGAGCAACTAAGGCCCGTGAGCCACAACTACTGAGCCCGCGTGCCTAGAGCCCGCGCTCCACAGCAAGAGAAGCCGCGGTAATGAGAAGCCCACACACTGCAGCTAGACAGTAGCCCCCGCTCGCTGCAACCAGAAGAAGCCCACGTGCAACACCAAAGACCTGGTGCAACCAAAAGTAAATAAATAATTTTTTTTTTTTAAGGGAGAGGAATTAAGACAAGAAAACTGCTAGTAAACTACTCCCAAAACAGTTTTCAGGTGGAAAAAGGAGTGGGATAGGTCTGTTTAGTTCTGCAGGGCAGACTTGGAATGAATGGTATCATAAGAGATTTTGGTGAGACCGGACAATGACAACAACAAGAAAGAAGGAGGAGAGGAAGGAGGGAAGGGAGGGGAAGAAACCAGTTCACAGCTACAGTTGCTTAAGACAGAACATTCTAGTAAGAAAGTAAATGTCCCATCTTGAAGCTCTCCAAGCATAGGTTGCAGAACCACTGGAAGGAATGCTCTGGAGAAGATTCAAACACTGGAAAAGGAATAGCAACATGTGTCCCTTCAGACTTCAAATTCTCACCAGTTATAGGTGTGGCCACTTAGAGGAAAAACATCACCAACCATAGTCCAAAGATCCTGAGTGTATAACACAGACACTCACTTTATGAAAGGGCTTCTTTGAATAAATAACTAAAGTATATGTTAAATGTTTGTTTACAAGGCATTAACTATCTAACCAAAAATAAAGAGGCAGGGAAGAAACAGGAAGCTTCGAGGCAATGCTGAAGAAACCACTGCCAAATGGAGTCCAATCATCAGTGAAGAGTTACTGTTGGAAAGAACGAAGCCAAAGAGTCCATTTATCACAATGTTCCTCAAAGGCATCTACTCTTTTATGACAGATTATTAAAATATATGGATTTCATAAAAGTCAGGGAGTTTGGGAAACTTGTTGCCTCACATTAAATCAGAGGCTCCGTCCTCTCAATCCCCCAGCTACTGTCAGCCGATAGATTAAACCTGTGAGTCTTTCAGAGAAAGCGAACTCAGCCGAGGTTGAGGATTATCTTTGAACATATTACAAGGAAAAAAAACAACAATTCTGTTGAACTGGTAATAATTCAGATTACCACCTACTCCTCGTTCAGAGCAATAATGGACTTTAACCAGTTTTCTGTTTCATAAATATTCCCAGGGCTCAACACTTTCTGAGGAGACACAACATTACCCACGGCGCTCATCCTGTTTGCTAAGTACTTATAACAACCTGAACCAGCTTAACGCTGTACAAAAACACAGCTGATTTAGCGATCTGTAAATTATACATGTGCATAAATCTGTGCCCAAATGTGTCGCGTTTCACTTCTGCTAACATGCATGGGTTCTTAACTGGCACCTACAATTGTTTGATAGAGGTTTACGAACACTAAAACATATGTTCTGCCTAGAATGGGACCATTTAGGGTAATATTTTTGTAGTTTCCTGGCACTGAGGTCTGACAGCCTTCCTAAGACAGATCTATTTGCTTCAGCGAGCATTCTGACAGTAAGTGCTACAGATTTAAGCAACCATCAAAAAATATTCTGGAATAACACTTTTCAAACATGAATATCAAGAGAAACAGGCTGGCTTTGCCTATGTGGCCATGAAGTCAGTATAAGAATCTGAAATGATGATAATCAAAATCAAATCCAATCCGGGGTGCTAATTATGCCCTCTGACTACTTACAGCTAAGCAAAAACAAAAAACAAACAGGTAATTTCTTTCAAATAGCTTCAGGATATATAAAAGAAAATTAAACTAGATTTAAGTCCCACCAAGACCAGGAATCTTTTAAACTTTTTTTAGATCTAAATAAGAGTTGCATCCAGGAAACACTGTGGAATTGGAGTGGGGTCCTTGGACCCAGACTCACTAGAATGTAACTTCCTAAAGGTAAAGAGGATCTCCTGCTTTCTACTATATCCCCAGCATTCAATAAATATGCTCAATAAATCTCTGTTGAATGAAAAAACCAGTAAGGACAGCAACTGTTGTCTAGTCCCTGAGCTGCCTCTTACTAACCAAATGTAAGTAAATGACTTAACCTGAAGATTCATAATCCCTGAAATTCTAAAATGGAGACACTGCACCTCCTTTGCTGGCGTATGAGAATCAAAGGTGATATTCCATGGAAAGTGACTTAATACTCTACGAAAGGCATACAGACAAGTGCTGTTACCCCATCTGTGACTCCAACTAAACCACTGACAAAGGTGAAAATACTGCCCTTCCTTGAAACAGAATTAGCTTGTCCCTTGCCCTGTGATTCTGCTTGGATGTGGCAGCAAGGCTGTTAGCCAAAGTGGATGCTGTTCTTGTTGTTGTAACATTTTATTCAATCTCCACTGGGAAATTGTGCTTCTCTAGAGAAAATAATGGTAATACAAGGAAGGTCACTTCAAGGTATACTATGAGAAGCATGACACTGGGGTCAAAGGGCTTAGGGGTTCATCAGTTCTGCCCTTAAATCTTTGAGAACATTAACTTGCTTTCATTTCTTCATTTATACTGTGTTAGGGAAGGAGAGGTAGACGACAAGGCATCTAAGGCCTGTCTCAGTTCTATGATTTTCCAGATACCAGAGATTCAAATACCCCAGAACAAAGCCAGCTCTATTATCCATTAGCACATAATGAGAGATTTTTTAAAGGATGATGAAAACAGTTCTACAAGCTAAGTCACAATGGCTGGAGAAACAATGATGCTATAAGAAAGATGAATGATTCCTTCTGAAGAGCTGCCTCAGGCGCTGTCTGCCTGCCACTTCCAATAAGTCACTTAACATTCCTGGGACTCAGTGTTTTGATCTGTAAAAGAGGAACAATACTGCATAGGACCACTGGGAGAAAATACTTAAGAAAATGATCAAAAAGTATTGTTATTTTAAGGTAAACGCTATTTAAACACTTTCATGCCCCCCCCCCCAAAAAAGGGCTGGTGGATTCTAGAAGGAGACAATCAATATTTTTAAATAGATTTTTTCCGTCACAGTAAAATAACATGATGGTTGTAGATATTGTGATAGTTCCAAGAGTACAGATTGTTTTTCCTATTTGGGCTCAGGAAATACGAAGACAGGGGTCACTAAAAACTGAAATCTCACAACCTTGAAACAGTAGATCATTTTAAATGTTCATCCTTCTCTCCTCCCAAGATGTTTGGTTTTGTTGTTGATGTTGTTTTGGTTGGTTAGTTAATTGAAGTCAAGTTGTTGAAATTGGAGCTGAAATTAAAGCACCAGTGCTAACAATGTTGCCTGCTACTTATTCTTTTAACATTCCATGTCTGCTTACAGAGGGGAGGAAGCTCCAAGAAGACCAACCAAATCAGAAGGTATTCTGCCTTCTCAGTTCCAGGAGTTTTTGTAATTGTGTCAGCTCCAGAATTCGTATCTTTTTTTTTTTTTTTATCATTTTTTACTGTGGTTATTAGCTCCATGATTCTTCATTTCCTGCTACAAGCCTAAGGAACCTTGTGATTGTCACATTTAAGATTCTCTTACTACTCTCTTCACTCAAAAACATGATAAGGTATACATTAGATACAGTCTGCCCTCATATTTAAAGGACACTACCTCTTCACCAAAAAAATGCAGTTGTCATTGCTACTTATGAGAAAGTTGATGCCATTATCAATGGGATCCTCAAACAGCAAGAATCCCTCGATAACCCACAACAGGCCAATAACAACAGCAATCCCAGAAAATTAACTCTTAAATAGCGATTTTACTTAAAAAGCCATGATCACCTGCAGCTTTTTCACCAAGAGTTTATCGTGGCTGTTCACGTAGTAATTAACATTCTCTTCTCTCCTCGGGTAATGGCTGGGACTGTTCGAAAGCCACCTGAGTTTGAGGAAGCCCTTGGAAGGAAAAGGGCTTCCCTTGTGGCTCAGCTGGTAAAGAATCCGCATGCAATGTGGGAGACCTGGGTTCGATCCCTGGGTTGGGAAGATCCCCTAGAGAAGGGAAAGGCTACCCACTCCAGTATTCTGGCCTGAAGAATTCAGTAGACTGTATAGATCACGGGGTAGCAAAGAGTCAGACAGGACTGAGCGACTTTCACTTTGAAAGGCAAGGTGATTGACCAGAAATTCTTCAAGAGGCATATTTCTACAAAGTGCCTGAATAATACATGATGATTTGCTATCCTAGTTGATAGGTTATTTACTAGAAGATAAGTTTAAATCTGTTTTTAATTACAAGGAGTATTTTCTAGTAGCACAAGTCACTTTCATGCCCTTCCCCTGAATCCCAAACTAAATCCTAATAGAAGTGCAGAGTTTTAACACAGTCTCCTTCAGGCTCAGCAACAGTGATATTTATACATGTTAAAAACCCATTTCCTGAGTTGGCTCTTCACCTCCTCCCAACAGAATGGCATCTGACTCTGGAAGGAGATGGGGACCAGGAGCCTGTACAGAACATCTCTAGGCTTGTCCTCTGTCATTTTAGCCTGTTTGATGAACGGCTGTGCACTGCATCTTCCAACTGCTGAGCTCTTCCAACTGCTCTGTAAGCGCTTTACCCTGGAAGCTCTGCTGGGAGTACTAAAGGCGTTTGGAATGATTGCATTCTATCCCTGCTCCTAGGACTTCCCAACACCTCATACCATCTCAATGCCACTGGGAAAGAGAGGGGCTGGAGCTCTGGTTTATCGAGCAATGGATACAGTCACAGTTTGGGTAAGTTTGAGAATATACAGGGGAGCAAGAGTTATAAAACACTGCTGTGGTTTGGAAGAGAGGAACGATGACAGGTCTGTACCTGCGCCCCTCCACTTTGCACTCGAGTTCAGGAAACTCTGCCCTTCGTGAGCCTTCACTTCGAAGGGTGTGGGTGGGTGAGGAGGTGGAATCCGGCAGCCTGCAGCACGTCCCTAGGTTCCCACGTCCCTACCCCTCGGACTTTTCAGGTGCCTGGGTGGGAGGTGGAAGCAGCCGCATCCTCCCATCCCTCGGGGCCGGGACTCGGAGGTGCCGGTCTCTCCTGGGGCTCTCTCTCCTGGGGGAGGCGGCGCCGTGGGCAGCGGCCAGAGAACCTGGAGAGCCTTAACGGAGGGGCGAGCAGTACCGAAGGGGAAGGCGCTGCCGTTCCTGCCGCGACCAGCTTCCCAACACTTTTCCCGGGACTTTGCTCATCAGCTGGTACACTCCCTGGAGAGGAGACCAAGAAGGTGCGCGAAAGGTTCCCAAAAGCGACCCCAGGAGAGCGCTCCTCTTGGGATGGGGACCCGTTAGACCCTCCCCGCTCTACCCACCCTTCCCAGCCCCCAGGAGTCAGCCCCACGCCGCGGCTCCCAGCAGAGCCCCGGGGTTCTGCTGCATCTGCTGGCGCCGAGCGGCGGGAGGCGTCTGCAATAAAGGCACGGATAAAAAGCCGGGGTGTCAAATCCGAATGCACCTCTTACCATTGGACCGCCGGACAATGTTCTCCAGAAATGTGTTTTGCGGGGCCACCAGTCCCTTCCTGCCCCCAGCCATGGTCATCCTCCCGGCAGGTCGGGGTCTGGGGGGGCGTCCCGGCGCGGCGACTCACGGCAGCAGCAAGCTGGGCGCGGGGCCCGCGAGCGATCCCGGCTGGAAGCGCCCCATGCGCCCCACGGGGACCCGGGCGGGCAGGGGCGGCGGCGGCTCCCTCCGGCTGCCACCCTCGCGCCCTCTTCGCGCCTGCCTCCCCGCGGCCCGCCTCGCAGTGTACTCGCGCGGGGCTCGCCGCGCCGCAGCCGCCTCCGGGTGGGCGGGGTGGGGGGGAGCCGCCGCAACCGGGCCCGCGGCGCCCCCTACCGGGCGCGTGTCCTCCGCCGGCCTGCGGGAGGCCGAGCGGGGCGCTCCCGCAGCTGCCGGGAAGCCGAGCGCCGCGGCGGGCGAAGGCTGGACCGGCAGCGCCGCGCTCTGGGCACAGTCGGGAAGCGTGCACAGGGCGCGCCTTGGGTTGGGTGGCGAGGGGGGTGTTGGAGCTGCTGTCTCTCGGCGGGTTCACTCCCTACCAGGTCTCAGGGAGTCTTGGAGGAACGAGACACTGT